TTCTATTCATTAGCCTTCTGGCTGGGGATGTGGAAAATGCAGATTTACTCTATATCAACCTATTATCTGAGAGGCAGAGAGATCTTACTCAGGGCAAGGAAGACACTAGGCTTAATGTTGTAGAGATTGCAAAAATGAATAAGACATGTTTACTAAGGGAAGGCAGGATGGGAGGAGGTAAAAGAGGACAAAGAGGGTATAAATGCTGATGAAAGGAGACTTGAGTAGGGGTTGTAAACCCACAATACAATATACCGATAATATATAATATTGTAAGAATTGAATACCTGAAAACTATATAATTTTATTCACCAATGTTACCTCAATAACATTTATTTTACAAAGATGTGATTACTGCCTTCACCACCAAAGAGCATATAATCTGGTTTGAGAAATAGAATAAATTTATTCAGTAGTTATTGAACACCTGATCTCTGCTAGACATAGTGCAATGCATTGACTATATAAAAATAAAAAAGACATAGTCCTTGCCTTTAAGGAACTCAGTCCAATAGGGAAGACAGACATACTGGTATGCACATATAATTACAAAATACATCCAAAAGCCAACCACTTTCCATCTTTGTCTCCCCCATATCCGAAAGTCTACTCCCAACTGTAGCTAGGATGGTCCTATTTTTAATTGAATTTATTAGGGTGACATTGATTCACAAAACCATATAGGTTTCAATTGTACCACTCAGCAAAATGCCATCAGCACATTGCACCATGCACCCTTAGCCTCAAGCAAAGTCTCTTTTCATATCCATGTATACCCCTTTTCCTACCTCTACCTACCCCCTTTCCCCCTCTGGTTATCACCACATTGTTGTCTGTTGTCTGTGTCTATGTGAAATATATATATATTTGTGAAATATATATATATTTGTGAAATATATATATATTTGTGAAATATATATATATTTTTGAAATATATATATATTTGTGAAATATATATATATTTGTGAAATATATATATATTTGTGAAATATATATATATTTGTGAAATATATATATATTTGTGAAATATATATATATTTGTGAAATATATATATATATATATATATATATATATATTCATCTTCTTTCATCCAGCCCTCAACCCCCTCTGCTCTCACAGCTGTCAGTTTGTTCCATGCCTCTGTTTCTATTTTGTTCATCAGTTTATTTTGTTCATTGGATTTCACATATAACTGAGATCATATGGCACTTGCCTTTCTCTGACTGGCTTATTTCACTTAGCATAATAATCTCCAGGTCCATCCATGCTGTTACAAAAGGTAAGAGTTCATTCTCTTTTATAGCCAGGCAGTATTTCATTGTGTAGATGTACCACAGCTTATTTATCCACTCATTTGCTGATGGGCAGTTGGACTGTTTCCAAATCTTGGCTATCTATAATAATAAAAGCATAATATGCTAATTAGACCAGATGTCCTTCTGGATGACCTTCTGGATGAAGCCGGGACTTCAAGGGAAGCCACTGCTGGGGCAAGGGGAGAAGGAAGGCCTTCTCTTGCATGAATTTCATGTTTCGGGCCTCTAGTTGTAAATAATGCTGCAATGAACACATGGGTGCATATATTCTTTTGAATTAGTGTTTTGGGTTTCTTGGGATATATTTCCAGAAATGGGATCACAGGTCAAAGGCAGTTCCATTTTTTTATTTTTTGAGGAAACTTAATACTGTTTTCTACAGTGGTTATACTAATATGCATTCCTACCAATGATGCACGAGGGTTCCCTTCTCCCTACACCCTTGTGAATTTATTTATGATCACCATTCTGATAGGTGTGAGGTGAGATCTCATTGCTGTTTTAATTTGCATCTCTCTGATGATTAATGACATTGAACATCTTTTCTGCTGGCCATCCACATGTCCTCTTTGGAAGGTCTTTTGCCTATTTTTTAATTGGATTGTTTATGTTTCTTGGTGTTGAGCTGTATGTTATTTATAAATTTTTTATACAAACTCCTTATTAGATGTGTCATTAGGGAACATGTTCTTCTATTCAGTAAGTTGTTTTTTCATTCTGTTGATGGTTTCCTTTGCTGTGAAAAAAAGTTTTTAGTTTTATTTGTTTACTTTTTCTTTGTTTCCCTTGTCTAAGGAGATATATTGGCAAAAACATTACTATAATAAATATCTGAAATTTTACTGCCTACGCTTTCTTCTAAGATTTTTATGGTTTCATGCTGTACATGTAAGTCTTTAATCCATTTGAAGTTTGTTGTTGTGTATGGTGTAAAAAGGTAGTCTAGTTTCCCTTTTTTGCATGTTTCTAATTTTCCTAGTGCCATTTATTGAAGAGACTGTAAAATATTAATAGACCATAAAGGCTTGAGTTTATTTCTGTGCTTTCTATTATGTTACACTGCTTTATATGCCTGTTATCATGCCAATGCCATGCTGTTTTGATTACTATGGATTTGTAGTATAGTTTGATACCGAGTAGTGTGATCCCTCCAACCTTGTTTTTTTTTCTCAAGATTGCTATGCTATTTGGGGTCTTTTGTGAATTCATAGAAATTTTTGGAATATTTGTTCTATATCTGTGAGATATGGCACTGCTATTTGAATAGTAATTGTGTTGAATCTGTAGATTGTTTGGGATAACATAGACATTTTAATTATGTTAATTTTTCTATCCATGAACATGGTATATGCTTCCACTTATTTGTATCTTCTTTAATTTCTTTCTTCGGTATCTTATAATTTTCCAAGTATGAATCTTTTACCTCCTTGGTTAAATTTATTCCTAGGTACCTTTTTGTGTTGCAATAGCACATGGGATTGTTTTCTTCATTTCTCTTTCTGATAGTTCACTATTGGTATATACAATTTCTGAATATTAATTTTGTGTCCTGCTACTTTGCTAAATTCATTTATTAAATCTAGTATTTTTTTGGTGGAATCTTTAAGGTTTTATATATACATATCATGTAATCTGAAAATAATGACAGTTTTATTCCTTTCCAATTTAGTTGCCTTTTTAAAAAAATATATATTTTATTGATTTTTTTACAGAGAGGAAGGGAGAGAAATAGAGAGCTAGAAATGTTGATGAGAGAGAAACATAGACCAGCTGCCTCCTGCACACCCCCTTCCGGGGATGTGCCTGTAACCAAGGTACATGCCCTTGACCAGAATCGAACCTGGGACCTTTCAGTCCGCAGACCGACGCTCTACACTGAGCCAAACCGGTTTCAGCTTAGTTGCCTTTTGTTTCTTCTTCTTGTCTGATTACTGTGGCTAGGACTTCCAGTACTATGTTGAATAGACTGGTGAAGTGGACATCACTGTTTTGTTCTTGATCTCAAGGGAAACACTTTTAGTTTTTGCCCATCGAGTATGATGCTGGCTGTGGGTTTATCATATATGGTCTTCATTATGTTGAAGTATGCTCCCTCTATCAGGATGATCCTATTAACATAAGCCAAATCATGTCACTATTCCAAATGTCCCAACAACTCCCATTTCACTACAAGCAAAAGCCAAAGTCTTTCCAAAATCCTGCAAGACCTTAAATTAGGGGTGTCGAACTCAATCAGAGAAGGGGCCAAAATCTAAAATCCAGCCTAAATCGCGGGCCGAATGGTTTACTGAACAGTCATAAACTGTCATTGTGATGGAAACGCAGCGGAGTGCAGTGATGACAGCGAGGTGCGGGCCACATTGCAAGGCCTGGCGGGACAGATTTGGCCCGCGGGCCTTGTGTTTGACACATGTGCCTTAAATAATCTTACCATTGGCCACCTCTCTGATCTCATCACCTACTGATCTCCCCCTTGTTCACTCCATTAGAGCTATACTGGCTTCCTTGCTGTCCCTCTAACAAGCTATACGCTCCTGCCTTAGAGCCTGTGCTATAGCTGGCTGTCTTCTCAGTAAAGTCTATCCCTACTATCCTGCTTTCTTTTCCCCATTGCACTTATCATTTGCTTATATAGTACCACTTTGATTTATATATCAGCTTTTATTTATTTGTTATTATTGTTTATTATCTATCTTCCCTAAATAAAAGATAAACTCCATGATGACAGAGATTTTTTTTTTTAATCCATTGTGTTCAATGATGTATCTTCAGGGCTTAAAACAGTACTGGCACATAGAAAGAATTTAATAAATATGTATTGAATGAATGATGTGTTATAATGGATATATGTACAAAGTGTCATGAAAGTACTGGTTGAAGGAAAGATTTTCACCCAAAGTAAAAGTTTCATTAATGGGTGATATCTGAATTGTGAATTGAAATATCAGTAGGATTTGCTGGTCAGACCAAAAGAGAGAAAGAACTTGGGAATTTTTAATATCAGGCACTATGCCAGGCCCTAGGAATTCATAGGTAAAGGATACAGTTCCCAACTTTAATTAGTTTGACAGATAACTGGGGAGTCAGACAGATAAGAAGATGACTATATTAGAGTTAAGACACTGTTGGTGCAGGAAAAAGGTAAGCATTAGGCAAGGAGTACCTAATCCACATTGTGGGGAAAGGAATTGGAGGTGGTCAAAGTTTCTTCAGGGGATGAAATCAGAACTGAGTATTGAAAGGCAAAATATAATTAACCAAGTGAAGACAGATGGAAGACATTTCCATCAGAGGGAGCAGAATACAAAGACGCACAGACAAAGAGCTTGGCACACGTAGTATGGCTTAGCAGATTGCAAAAAAGAGGTGGGGAGAGGGGAAGCTAGCCAGGTAGGTAGGGCTACAGAAAAGAGGCCATGTTAAGCAATTGGGGTAAAGTTGGTTGCTCTGGAAGAGTTTTAAAGTGAGGGGTCCAGCTATGTAGTTTAGGAAGATCCCTCTGGGTGCTAGGTGCAATAAAGGCAATTAGGTTGCCTGATATTAGTTTCTTCCAATCATGGGGAAATGTGTAGCAGCTACCCACAAAAGGTTCAGTTGGGAGAATGGGGGATGGCAAGAATGAGACACAGGCTGAAGATATTTGGGTTCTTGTCCTATAATGGAGAGATTTACAGGTTTCCCACCTTGGCTAGGATTTCACTAGAGGAAGTTTCCTGGGAGAACTTACACTTTTGTCCTTTTCTTTGCAGAGCACACCTTGTCCCTTCTTATTCCTTTGGAGAGAATGAGGTGTACAATCAAGAGACCTTCCCTGAGGGCACATGGTTAAGGTTCTTTCAAAAAGGCTTCCAGGACACATTCAAAAAAATCCTGGGACTAAATTTCTGTACCTTCCATGGCCGAGGCTTCACTCAAGAATCTTGGGGCTTCCTGCCTTTCAATCGGCCCATTACCACTGTTGGTAAGATTTCTACTATCTCTCAACTACCCTGGTCCTTGATTCCCAGGGAACCTGGAACACAGCTTTGATGGACAATGGAAAGTCCATTGGGTGTGGTTGAGAGCTGGGTGGGTAGAACAACTGAACAGATAAGAGTTATGGCCATTCACAGTAAGACAGAGTTCAACAGCTATCATGAGAGCATAATTATTCCATCAGCACTCTCCTGAGCTTATTCTCATTCTCTTGAGCATGTGTGAGGTTAGGTATTTGGAAATCATGGCAAAGGATAAGGTTTGGGCAGAAAAAAAGCAAAAAAAAAAAAAAAGCAAAAAAAAAAGAAAGGGAAGGGGACCCAGACATTGAGTTTCAGTATGTGGTCCCCTTTGAGGGATGGGTAATTTGAGTTGGGAGGGAGTTCTGATGCTTGTCTCTTCTTCCCCACAGTTGGGGAGCCCCTGCCAATCCCCATGATTAAGAGTCCAGACAAGAAGACCGTGGACAAATACCACACACTCTACATCAATGCTGTGCGCAAGTTGTTTGACCAGCACAAAGTTCAGTATGGCCTTCCTGAGACCCAGGAGCTGACAATCATATAACAAGAGCTGGATATCCTTATTATTGAACTCTCAAAGCATTGAGGGGTCCAAGTAAGGTCACATGGAAGGAAGAATTTGGAGAGAGTAGAGGATCTCAGGTGTGAGATAGGAGCTAACCAAGCCAGAAAGTGCTCAATGAATCAGATTTGGGGAAAGGAATTAGAGGAACAGGAGAAGACTGGGCAACAACCCAGTTGAGCAAGCAGTCTTGTGAGTCAACAGATCTTTTTTGCCCCATGACTTCAACCAACTCTCTAATCAGAAGAATGAGAAGCCAAAGAACACAATGCTCCTTTCTCCTGAGCCTTAGTGACACCATCACTATTTGGGTTTATACTTAGACTTATTGAAAACAGGGATGGTTTGTTTCCTCCTAAACCTCTTCCTTACAATCTGAGACCACCACAAGATAAACTGGGAACTTACACTGTGGTTTCTTGACCCAAGCAGGGAAGATTCCCTCAGTTGTGACACAATTCCACATTAACAAGAACTGTGTTGCATGCAGTTATGCTGTTTCTTTTATTAAAATAAAGCTCTAGATATGTAAAACCAGATATGACTATTTCCTACTTACTTTGCAGTTCACTATTGTACTTCCCTGTAATCTAGCCAGAAAGCTGGTCTGTGAAGAGCCATTTTCCTCTTCATCTGCCCTTTATACTGCTCCTGACAGAAAATGTGAGGGAATGGAACCATAACTGCTGCACAGTGCAGGAGATAGGAGCAGAATGGCGGGGACTGACACTGAGGAGCCCATCCCTCCTGATCCCACATAACTATCCTGGGTCACAAAGAAGGGAGCCACAGACCATCCACCAGCTGTGAATCTGCTTTATGTAAAGTACTTACTGTGTACCAAGAACTATGCCATCATTTTCCAAACCTTTGTCTCTTAATGCAAACACCAACCCTGCAAGATTGCCACCATCTCCATTTCACAGTAGCTAAAACTCATAGAGGTTAAGTAACTTGTCTGTAGCTCTGGATAGAACTGTCATCCAAATACAGGTCTTGTTAATTCCAATCCAAAATTCTTTCTAATGCACCAATCACCACACTTTCTATTTCTCATTTCCTGGAGACCTATTAATCAGCTTAATTTTCCTCAATGAGGTTGCATGGCACCCCACTTAAATTAGCTCATAAGTGTGTGTGTGGGGGGGGAGGGATGACATGGATTCTACTCAGAGTGGTCCCCCTCAGAAAAAAATAACATTAATGAAAGAAACACACAAACATTTCTACATCAATAGAATGAATTGAGAGTCCAGAAGCAAACCCATACATTCATGCTCAACTGCTTTTTGCCAAGGGTTCCAAGACAGTTCAATGGAGGGAAAGAATACTCTTTTCAATAAATGATGCAGGAGCAATTATATATTCACATTAACAAAAGGAAAATTTGATAAATTGAACTTCACCAAAACTAAAAATATTTTATCTGCAAAAGACCCTGTTAAGGAGGGTGAAAAAGCAAGCTATACACTGGGAGAAAGCATCTGCAAACCATATATTCAACAAAGGACTAGTGTCTAGACTATATAAATAACCCTCAGCAGTAAAACAAACAAATAAACAAAAATCTAATCAATCCAATTAGAAAATGAGCAAAAGACATGAAGAGACATTTCACTGAAGAGGATTTATAGACAGCAAATAAGCACACAAAAAGATGTTCAATATCATTAGCTATTAGGAAGATTGTAGTAAAAGTGCCTGATAATTAGCTTTTTTAATTGTAATGTAAGTGTCAAAAATGTATCTTTTTTGATTGCCAAGGCATTCATTTCAGAGACATTCATCTCAAATAAACATATTGGAAGCTACTTAATCAGATAAAGAGCCAGGCCACTCCATCCAAGAAATTTCCCTTTTAGAAAGTCCAGGGTGACCTAGTAACTGAGTTTTTGAGTGACCCTGCTTCTCCCTCCCATGCTTTAATTCCCACTCAATTTTTTATTTTGTTAATGTATCAGTTTACATTGGAGCTATAACAAATTACCACAAACTTAGCTACTTAAAACAACAAATTTATTATCTTAAAATTCTGCTTTTAAAAACTGTCCATATTCCTCACTTTGTCACTTGTGTTGGTGTTCTTAGATTACCCAAGATAGAAATAAAGAGGAAACCCCAGAGAAACCCCAGACAGATTTTATTAAATTTATGCTTGAGCACAAGGGAGGCAGCACAGAGGAAAGGAAGTCCCTCTGAACTGGCTTGGGGGCCGCTTCTACTAGGCTGTTTTTATAAGCTGGGGACAAAGTGGGGTTGCTCTAAAAGGCAGGCTTGTGTAGGGTTCAGGAGTGAAATTTTCCATGCCACAGTGGGGTTACTTTCTCCTTCTGTAAAGGTGCTTGGCATCTATATCCGCATCTCCACACCTGCACTGTTGGGACAAGATGGTGGTGTTGCCAATGGAATACGAAGCAGCTGTAAAAAAAAAAAAAAAAAAAAAAAAAAAAAAAAAAAAAATTAGGATCTCTTATCCCTGGAAACAGTATGGAGGGACCTGGAGAGTATTATCTAAGTGAAATAAGCCAGTCAGAGAAAGACAGTATCACACGATCTCACCCATATGTGGAATTTAATGAACAAAATAACTGATGAACAAAAAAGGTCAGAAACATTGAAGCATGCAATAGACTAATGCATTTCAGAAGGGAGAAGGGGACAGAAGAAGATTAACCAATGAGTTTATATGCATATATGTATAGCCCATGAACAGACAATAGTGTGGAGAAGACCTGGGGATGGGCAGGAGTGGGGTGGAGGGAGTCAACTGGGAAAAAAGGGGACATCGGTAATACTTTCAGCAATAAAGATAAATTTTTAAAAAATTAAAACAATAGCCCTCTGGTTTGGCTCAGTGAATAGAGTGTCAGCCTGCAGATTGAAGGGTCCTGGGTTCCATTCCAGTCAAGTGCACATGACCGGGTTACAAACTCAATCTCCAGTAGGGGGAGTGCAGGAGGCGGCCAATCAATGATTCTTTCTCATCACTGATGTTTCTATCTCTCTCTCTCCCTCTCCCTTCCTCTCTGAAATCAATAAAAAATATTTTAAAATTAAAACAATAGCAACCAAACAAAGAAACAAAACAAAGAGAGAAAAGAGAAGATGGTGGTGTTGCTCATTACCACCACCCCAGGAAAGTCATATAGTGGCCAATCCTTAATCAACTGTGCATGTGGAAGAGTGGTTTTAACATTTTCTGGCTACCTGGTCTTAACTTTGCTTCCTAGACATTCAGTATTGTTTCATTCTCAGACCCAAGTCCCTATTGTGTCAGATTCATGACCCTCTTCCAGCAAAGGCATCATTCTGAGCTCTGCTTTTATTGTCACATCTTCTCTGCCTCTTACCTTCTTGGCTCCCTCTTATAAGGACCCCGGTAATTACATTGGGCCCACATAAATTATTCAGGATAATCTCCCCATCTTTCAACCATATCTGCAAAGTCCCTTTAGCCATGTAAGGTGAAAATTTTAAATTCCAGGAATTAGGATGTGGGCATTTGGTGGGGGAAACCATTCTTCAGCCTACAACATAGCTCTTGTTTTGGTGTAATGTCTAAGAACACTTCTCCAAGCCCTAGGTCCCCATGATTTTCTTCCATGTGTTTTTCTAAAATTTTTTAGTTTCATGTTTTTACATTTAAGCTCATGGTTCATTTTGAATTAACTTTTATATAAATGATAAGGAAATAATAAATTTTTCATTATGTACAAAGTGTAATCCAGAGCAAATGGAACCACTGTACCTCCCTCAGAGAATACCACAAAGATGGTTCATTTCCTTCAAGTGTTTTCATTGACAGTACCTGATACAAAACAGAGACAACACACATGCCAAAAAAGAAACTATAGAATAATATTACTTATAAACAAAGATGTAAATCTCTTAAATAAAATAAGAATAAATCTGAATCAAAATTATCTTAACAAAAGGTTCACTATCAAGAAGGATTTATCCTAAGAATTCAAATATGATTAAATATTAGAAAATCTATTCCTATGACATAACAATGGGTCAACAAAGAAAAACTGTGCAATTACCTTAATACATATTAAAACACATAAAATAAATGCCCATTCTTGAACAAAAACTCTAAAATATACAAATAGAAGATACTTCTATAATATTATAAATGGTATGCATCTCAAATCAATAGCCAAGATAATATAATAATGAAACCCTATAGATATTTCTATTAAAATCAGAAACAGACCAAAAAATGTCCCTTACCAATATAGTTATTCATCACTCTTTATAAATTTCTGGCCAAAGTAACAAGTCATTAAAAATAAAATTTATCTGAAACCGGTTTGGCTCAGTGGATAGAGCGTCGGTCCGCGGACTGAAAGGTCCCAGGTTCAGTTCCGATCAAGGGCATGTACATTGGTTGTGGGCACATCCCTGATGGGGTGTGCACGAGGCAGCTGGTCAATGTTTCTCTCT